ATGGCCTGTTTGCCCCTGAAGAATATAAATATGTTAGAATTTTAATATGTTTATATTGCTAAATGCCAGCAATCAAAATTGGCACATGGTGGGCACTCAACACATGCTTGATTTGCTAGATATTGTTTTAAAAAAGACTTTTAAGCAAATGCAACTTAGAATAGCACAGACTAAGTACCTCAATTTAAGAGAATGCAATGCACAATTTTAGAACCGGGTTTGACTTTCAGTATCATCCCAGTGATCTTCCATGACTTACTCTTCAGTTTTTTATTACATATGAGCAGCTCAAGAGGCTTCAAATCTAAGGACTGAATATATGTGAGTCAAGCCCTGCCAACCTTTCTACTCTTCTTTTCCCTTTTTCTGTGTTCTAATGTATTTTGACAAAGTTGTAAGTGTTTACTGAATCATTGGTCTCCCAAGGCCCTCCTGATGGAAGAACGATAGGATGGTTCAAAATTGCTCATGTGTTTGTGTTGCCATGTGAACTTTTCCCTGAGAGGGAGTATTAACACTGAGACTCTGGCCCCAGCTTGGTATCTTCTGTGAAGATGGATACTGATAGATGACACTCAAAATGACCTTCTCTTCAAATGTGGGTTAAATGTAGTTTGTTAGCCCCAGACTTGGGCTAGAGCAGAAGGCATAGGCCAGGGCAGTTACTGCTATTTATGTTACAGACCTCGGTTCTCATTAAAGTATTTATTGGCAGAATGACTTTGGCTTTGTCTTCATTTACTGTTTTCTCATTTGCCAAATCTTTATATTATATTCTCCAGAAAGCAATAAAGAGAAGGTGACTATGAAGTTGAGTCTGGACTCCCAAAGCACATTTATGGGAATGGACTAAGTACATTGTGCTTTCCCATTGCCATTCATTGTCATAAGGCCACTTGTAAACATCAGACAAGTGGTTCTATCCTAAAGAATGCATAAACAAACAAGGGGCTTATTTGGAAGTTTCCACAGATAAAATGCTTAAAGGCTTAAAAAGAGGCTTAAAATAGAACCCTGTGTGCAGGGTTCTAATTGTCTTACAGGCAAAAAGTTCTGGCTACTTTCTTGTACCAGAATAGTGCCTACCACATTGTAGGCACTCAAATATTTGTGAGATGAATACTTTAGTTCTCATCTTTATCCATTCATTCATTTGTTCAACAAACATTTATTGTTATCTATTATGTCTTAGATGCTGGGGATGTAAAAATAAATTAAAACATAGTCTCTGATTTCAAGGTCACATTATAGTAGGAGAAACAGACATGTAAGTAGGTACTAAGTACAGTACAGTAGGTACTAAGTACTGTCTGAGAGATGAACTAAGTGCTGCAGAAGCACAGAGGAGGAAACAGACAATTACCTAGGGGACTGGCCAAAGGCTTCATAGTGGAGGTGACAGTTGTGCTAAAAAGCAGATGTTACCAGGTAGATAAGGCAGGGAAGGACATTCCAGGCAGGGGAATGGGGGAAATTTCAGCATGGCTGAAATAAAGGGTTATGGTTTTCAAATACCACCTGAGGCAGAATCACCTGGAGATCTTGTGAAAATGTAGATTCTTGCACCCTGTCACCTGAGATCCTAACCTTATTTGGGGCAAAAGCATTTGCTTTTGTCATAGGCACTTGACGGAGGGTGATCCTTAGATTACACTTTGTGAAGCACTTGTAAAGAAATACGGGCTAGGGACTTCCCTGGTGGTCCAGTAGCTAAGGCTCCGCCCTCCCAATGCAGGGGGTCTGGGTTCGATCCCTGGTCGGGGAACTAGATCCCGCATGCATGCCACAACTAAGAAGTCCATATGCCACAACTAAGAGCCCACATGCTGCAACTAAGCCCCGGTGCAGGGCTTCCCTGGTGGCGCAGTGGTTAAGAATCCGCCTGCCAATGCAGGGGACATGGGTTCGAGCCCTGGTTCAGGAAGATCCCATATGCCACGGAGCAACTAAGCCTGTGCGCCACAACTACCGAGCCCACGCGCCACAACTACTGAAGTCCACACGCCTAGAGCCCGTGCTCTGCAACAAGAGAAACCACTACAATGAGAAGCCTGCACACCACAACCAAGAGTAGCCCCACTCGCCGTAACTAGAGAAAGCCCGTGCGCAGCAACGAAGACCCAACGCAACCAAAAATAAATAAATAGATTAATTAAATTAAAAAAAGATCTGGTGCAGCCTAAATAAATAAATAAATATTTTAAAAAAATAAGGTGATTTGAAAACAGAAAAGTAATGTTAATTAAAAAAAAAGAAATATGGGCTAGAATGAAAGGAAATTAGAATAGTGTGGCCAAAAGGGTCAAATTGTGAAGGCTCTCTATATATCCTAAGAAAGAGTTTGGCTTTTATCCTGGAGGGAGGGGCCAGGCAAAGGAAGTTTAAAATAGAGAATAATATAACCAGCTTTTATTTTTTAGGAAGATAATCCTTGTGTGGAGGGTAGCCTGGAAGGGAGCAACCTAAACAAGGTTAAGCCCCACTGAGCTTTACTCCCCTTTTTGTACAGGTAGACAAAATAGGGTCCAGAAAAGCTAAGAAAATTTGTCCTAAGTCACATAGCCTGATTATGGCAGATTTGAGGCCAGCACATAGTTGTCAGATTCTACCACCCCACAGTGTCTTCTTAATTGTCAATCTAAAGTACTACCTTTTCAAAATAAATTTTAATAGACTTAATTTTTAGAGAAGTTTTAGATTCATAGCAAAATTGTGTGGAAGATACAGAGATTTCCCGTGTACCTCCTACATGCTACATGCAGCTTCCCCTTGATCAAAATTCCTCACCCAGGGTGATTCATTTGTTACAGTCAATGAACCTACATTGGCACATCATTATCAGTTCACATCCATCATTTATATTAGGGTTCACGCTCAGTGTTATACATCCTGTGGGTTTTGACAAATGTATAATGACATGTATGCACCATTATAGTATCATACAGAATAGTTTCACTATCCTAAAAATCCTCTGTGCTCTGCCTATTCAGTCTTCCCTCTCCCCCAAACCCCCAGAATCCACTGATCATTTCACTGTCTCTATGGTTTTGCTTTTTCCAGAGTGTTATATAGTTGGAATCAAACAGTATGTAACCTTCTTAGGCTTATATGGGCTATACTATATATAAGTATATATCACTTAGTAATATATACTTAAGGTTCCTCCATGTCTTTTCATGGCTTTATAGCTCATTTTCTCTTTTTTCTTTCTGAATGTACCACAGTATATTTATCCATTCACCTACAGAAGGACGTCTTGGTTGCTTCCAAGTTTTGGCAGTTATGAATAAAGCTGTTATAAATATTCATTTGCAGGCGTTTATGTGGACACAAGTTTTCAGCTCATTTGGTTAAATACCAAGGAGTGCAATTGCTGGATTGTATGGTAAGCATATGTTTAGTTTTGTAAGAAACTGCTAAACTATCTTCCAAAGTGGCTTATAAAGCTTTTATGTGCCAGATACTGTTTTAAGTGTATTATGTTTATAAAACTGTTTACATCCTTTCAACGACCCTATGAGATAGGTACTATTCTTATTTTTCAGGTGAGGAACTGAGGCACAGAAAGGTAAAAACTTCATTCCTAGGAAATGGCAGAGCCAGGATTCTAACCCAGGCCATCTGGGTCATGAGCCCATGCTTATAATCACCATGCTAGAGGTGTACTGACTTAGCCTTGTCCAGGGTCACTTAAAGTTTATGGCAGGTGAGCAGTAAAAAATACTGATTTCATTAGTTCCCCTGTCTTTATAGCACCCTGGGAGAAAGAAGGTCAATGGTCGTTGTGGTTGATCACTCTTTGACACTTAACTGTAAGACTAGATTTAAATTACTTTCCTGGAGACCTGTGACTGCAAATATATCATTTTCTTCTTATTCTCCACTTTCTACTGCTTCCTTATGTTTCCTTTGTTGGCCTTTCTTCTCCATGACCTCCTTCCTCACTAGCCCCCTCTTCCTCCCCAGTCTAAGTGAGCATACCATACACACAGGAGTTTGTTCTTGTTGTATGTAATACTATTTATTGAAGAACAGATGTCACTGATTTCTTTTTTTTAAAGTCTTTATTGAATTTGTTACAATATTGCTTCTGTTTTATGTTTTGGTTTTTGGCCCCGAGGCGTGTGGGATCTTAGCTCCCTGACCCGCACCCCCTGCATTGGAAGGTGAAGTCTTAACCACTGGACTGCCAGGGAAGTCCCAGATCTCACTAATTTCAAATTGAGTAATTTGAACATGGGACTAGACTTCTCACCCTCTTTCCTCCCATGCAAAGAAGTCTGCTGTTAGGCTTATAAATTTATGGGAGGAATGATTAAACTTCTAAGAACCTGATTATAAATACTTCTTTTCTATTCACTAAAACATATCCCTTAAGGGATAATATTTTTGATCTTCATATCTTCTCAGTTAGCATGGCCACTCACATTAATCTTAATTCCTGAGGTTTCAGTAAAGGATATCTCTTCTCTCTATCCAGTGTCTCAGATCAGCATCAGAATTCAGTTGTATTAGGGGCTGTGCCTAACTCATTATAAACACTCTTCATGCATCCTTGGCTCTCCCGTTTATTTAGCAAATAAGAAAAACAATTTAACACATCATTGCATAAGATTACTAAGGGACCTCGTAATCTTAAAGTGGTAGTTGGAATTTTGGATCATGAGCCCGTTTTCCACATTTGAAATAACCTCACAGCCATTCAGCTCTAATTTCTTGGTTCAGTTTTCTTACTTTTTAAACCACCTCTGAGATGACAGAGATGACTGAGATGACATCAGTTTGCTCTTCCATAGGATGTGCTTTAGTATTTGTCGAATGGCTTAGTGGGCAAATCCGCAAAACTATTATGAGTGGTAAAAGCACAATGAACAGTTTTGTAAGACAGCATGGCATTTTACTGGGCCGATGACTGTTATCTCAGCATGTTCATCATCTTTTTAGTGCCATAATGTCAACTCAGTTGAGATAGAACTGGAACCAATATGGATTTATTATATTAAATGGGAAAGATAATTCAATCATAGAACTATTGGGTAACATCCACCAAATGAAAAGAAACCTAAAAAATTAGAGAACCCCCCAGCCCCCAGGTTCTTGGTCTGATTTTAGTCCCTCTGGAGCTTTGGAGCAAATGAATTCTGCCCGCGCCATTGTGTAGAAGGCATTTTGAAAGAAACAGGAGCTGCTTTGTGCATTAAAACAGACTCTGAGACCCTTAGCAGCTGCATTAGTTGTTTCTAGGACTCCTCATGAGAGGGCTCTTTGAGCTCAGTGGCTGCTTATGGTCCCAACAGCTTGTAAATCCAGTGAACATATGGCTGGCTAGTAGCATGTTAAGCTCTCCCACACTTCACCCTGCCACAGTGGATCCATTAGGTGGAGCACATATTTCCTGGTCAGCAAGGCTGCAAGACCATGGCTTCGAGGCTTCAGCTGCATCAAGACCTGGCTCCTGGTTCCATGTGATCATATTTTCATATTCTCGTGCCTATTTAGCATTTTATGGTATTGCACAAAGCCACTATCAGAAGATTTTAAGAGTGAAAACACACTGAAATTGGTATCTGTATATCACACGATGCTGTATCAATGATGCAGTTGTCCTGTGAGGGGTGTTGTTAGACTGCTGTGTCCCATTAGTCCAGAATTCTGGATTTGCAGATTAACTCTAGCAGTAGGGCATAGCAACAGGTTCCTCTTGTTAAAAAAAAAAC